TTAGAACTTTTTAAGATACTCTTCTTTATTACTCTTCAGTGGTTGGTGAGTCATAGGTTTGTCAACTTCTAAAAGATTCAAATCACTTTTTTTCTGTTTTACTCTGCAACACCAAATGATAGTAGTTTCATATAATTAATATTATTGAATAGTACTAGTAATAGCCAGGTTCATAGCCTCCTGTACCCCTTAAGTTTTAGGTAAATGAATAATTGTACTTGTGTTCAAATGATTTTAAGAAACACATTAGCCATAATTTCAAAATATGTGTGAAAAAATATTTAAACTAGTAATAATGAAAATATGTATTTAATTCTCTAAAACTACATATCAGAATATTTAAAGCAGCTATCTTTTGGTTATTTTGTGTATTTTCATTAGCTTGACCATTTAACTGGGAGTTCATTCTTAACTAAATTTAGGATTAAGGCTTATTGCTAAACTGAAGGACTTAGTATTTTCAAATCTATTTCTACTCAGCTTTATTTCCTCTTACCTTTATGATGAATATGTTATAAAAGGAAACTTACTAAATTTCTTTTTGCTTGGTCAATTTAGAGAACTGTTGATAATCCTAAGGTCTTAAGATATTAACAATACGCTTAAAGCTACTTAGCTATTTTACTAGAAGTGGAATAGTGTATATATATTTGAAATAAGTGCATTTATCCTTAAGAGGAAAGATTCTGTGTATAGAACTCTTAGGTGGGAAAGTAGGACTCTGAAAGTGGAAGATGGAGGCTGTCAGTGTTTCCACCGAAAGAGTGAGTGTTAATTGTTGCCCTAACGCAACAGCACAGTTAATCCGGACTCCTTTCTGGGCCTTTCTTAAAAGTACAAGAGTCATCAGTATTTCTTTTGGTTGTTAGCAAATAGTAAAATATTTAACAAACACAGCACAATTATGTGTAGCTCAGAGGAGTAGGTTCTGTAATGTTTTTCTGAGTCCTATGGTTCTACATTTTCTCTTTGTGTCATTTAATATTTGAAAAGTCTTTGGCTCCACAAAGGAAAGTTACCAAACTCTTTATTAAGATGCCGATTCTGAGTTTGGCAGGAGGCTCTCCAGAATATCACGCTTACCCTGTATATTACAAATGTTATGTATTAATTTAAAAATTATTTGAAAATCCAGAAATACTTGTGAAATACCCTACAAAATGGCAAAAAAAAAAAAAAAAAAAAAAAAAAAAAAAAAAAAAAAAAAAAATGGCAGGTAGTCCTGAGACAGAGGACTAATACCGAGAATACATAAAGAACTCAGAAAATTAGTCCCCCTGCAAATAAAAGACCTAGTCAAAAGATCAGCAAAGAAAATGATTAGATACTTCCCAAAAGCAGTACAGATGGATATGTGTGTGTGTGTGTAGCTGGTCATTAGACAAATGTACCTTAACACAACACTGAGATTCCATGTGACCCCAGAAAGAGTGGCTATCATCAAGAAATCAACTAGAAGTGCTGGTGAGGCTGTGCATGTGTGTGTGGGGGGAAGAACCCTTTCACACTGTTTGTGGGACTATAAACTAGTACAGCCACTATGGAAATCAGTATGGAGATTCTACAAAAACTAAAACTAGAAATTCCTTTCATGTGTCTTCCCAGAGAGTGAAAAGCATTGTATTATGGTGATACATGTATAACTGCGTATAGCAGCAAAGGTCCTACTAGCTGAACCTTGGAAGCAGCCTGTATGAGTGGAATTCTACTGTCATCAAGACAGTCATTTTCAGGAAATGACTATAAATGATGAGTCATTTGTAGGAAAAAAGGTGCATCCTGAGACCCTAATGTTAAATGAAATACACAAATGACAAAGAACAAAATAAAAGGTAGACAATAGGAAGCAGGGAGATAGAAGTTTCTCAAATGGGAGTGGATCAAGTAATAAAGGAAAAGGGGAGGAGAGAGAATAGGAAATGTGTTGTATGCATGTACCAGTTCCACACAAGGAATAGAATAATTCTGTACTACCAACATGTACTAATTTAAAAATTAGACCTTCTTGGAGCTAGTTATGACAGTAGAACACTGGCATAGTCCAAAATGAAATCTCTAACAGTGCGTCCTGAACTTTCGCATGCCATGTGCCAGCCTTCCAGGCTCTTCAGAGTGAACTGTTTGCATGTTATCTGGAAAGTCAGTTAGTTGGGCACTTGGCTTTCTTCTAAAGAAGCATTTCTAGTTAGTATATTCTGGTCTAAGATTATCTTCCAGATTTCTTGTTTACCTTATGACAACTAAACAAAAAATCTAGACTCACATTAAGAAAGACTAAATTCAATTTTTTTCAACAGGTTGTATCAATCAGTGAAAATTCTGTATTCCTTTGGCATTTTTGTGACATATTCAATTCAGTTCTATGTTCCAGCAGAAATCATTATTCCTGGAGTCACATCCAGATTTCATGCAAAATGGAAGCAAATCTGTGAATTTGGGATAAGGTCCTTTTTGGTTAGTATTACTTGTAAGTATCACTATATATGTGTGTCATCATAATTCTTTTATTGTTGAATTTCTTAAACTGAAAGCTACTTAAATCTTTCAGTGTTTCTAAAAAAATTACATTCACTTAGTTGTGATACTTTGGGATTAAAGTTGTTTTCCCATTGTTGTAAATTTTCTGCTGTGAGTGGCAAAATGCAAAGCTAATTCTAGCACATTAAAATAACAAATTATTCTAAGAATGACAGTAGTAATAAAAGTCAGATACATAAGGAACCCTTTGCATTGTTGATACACAGTTTATTTCTAGTTTTCCTAATTTTTTACTGATTTCTTCTTTTATATGTATTTGTTTCATTCTTTATGACTACATACCTAAGACGCTTTTATTTCATTTGAGTTGGACTTTAATAACTTCAGTGGCTTATTTTCATGTGTGGAAGAGTGTACATAAGTTTTCATTAAGATTTCACATTATAAAATCCTTCCATCAGGTGCCATTAGTAATGGAGATGTGTGGAGAGAGTTTCACTTGCACATGGTGGAAGGAATGTGAGTTTTGGAGTCACGCAGACCTGGGAATTCAAACTCAGCCCTGCTGTTTATTTGCTAATCTCTTCAGACTAACTATACATCACAACTAAGCCTCCTTTTCTTCAACTGTGAAATGAGATTAACACATCCATGCTGCATTTCTGTAGGTTATCAAATAAAATAATGGGAAGTTATAATCTTATTATAACCATTATTATTATGACTGTAAATTTAAGTTTGATTATACTACCAAGCTAAACTTGGATTATCTAGAATAATACTGGTATCAGATTATTGATGCTCTTGGAAAAAGGTAGCTCTGGAAATTTTGTATGGGATACTAAACAGTCATCTGAACCATTTAGGGTTACAGAATGTAGAAGTTGGGCTGGGGAGATAGCTCCATGGTCTAAGCACCTGCCTGGCATGCTCCAGGACCCGAGTTCAATCCCTGGCACCACATACCATGCCTGTCCCAGATCACTGGCGAGCTGCGCTGGCCCTGCATAGCATGACCTTCTATCAAATAAAAAATAAATAAATGTTCATAGAATGCAGAAGTAGAATTTCTGATTAACTCAGGAAATGAGTAGCATGGGATAGAGCTTGTCTCTGTATTTTAAAAAATTGCATGTTTTGTATTTTGTTTGAAAAAAAAGTTAGAAAAAGTAGATAAATCTTATTTTTCAGTGAATAAAGGATATTATATTGAAGAATGAAGTCAATGAGCCCATACTCTAATGACTAATAATACCTTTAGTAAGAAAATGTTATTCATTCATTCATTCATTCATTCATTCATTCATTCATTCATTCATTTTTGGTACCAGGGATTGAACTCACAACTTTATGCTTGCCAGGGAGATGCTTACGCCACTGAGCTATCTCCCTGGCCTGGAAAAGGTTATTTAAAAATATTTGGAAATACTTTTTCTACATTGTCCTTATTAACATTTTGATCACTGGATTAAATTAAAAGTAATTTCATAGGAAGTGTTTCATCAATGTAAGATAATTCTGTTCTGAAGGTGTATCCCCTGTTAGAACAATTATTTAAACTCAGTTGAAGGGAGTTTGAGGTCCATGTTCCCAGGAGGCCAAGATTTTTATGTTTCCCCATTTCTACAAATAGGCAGCATGAGTTTGATTAGAATTTAATAGATCTATTTATAATAGCTGCCCCTAGGACAAGCAATTTATCAAAACTCCTGTAGTGAATATTTGTGATAGCTAAACTATCCTTATCATAAACTGTACTTTTGTTTTTATTCATTTGCATTTTTATATGTTGAATTTACCCCAAATATATGTGCTTCTCTTCGTTAGAAACATTTCCAAGCAATTTTTGCTAACAACAAAAAAATCTATTGGTTGTGAAATATTTAAAGGGTTTTACCTCATTGACATTCTAGTACTTCATGATTTAAATGTGTTTAACAGATGAAATTTATTTTAAATTTTAAAGTTAAGGTATTCCACTATATGGTCCCCAATAAGAATATTTCAGTTGATTCACTAGTGACAGCTTAGAGTATTGACACACATTACTGAGGAAAACTGGATTCCATGTGGAGAGTTGTCTTGGATGGCAGGACTCTCGCCATGCTTATCTGCCGTTCCTACTCCTGCTCTGGGTAGATGAGGCAGAACTCCGAACCATGGTTATATTCAGAAGCTTGAAAGGCCCTGACTGTGTTTGAGAGTTCTGCTTTACAGAACTCTATCTAGAGAAAAATGGTAAAGGGCTGCAAGAAGCATCTTTTAAACTGAGAATTTACTTTTTAAATTATTTCTAAGTTTTCAGTTTCCATTTTTAAAATAAAGGGTTAGCTTACCGAGTCCTATAGGTGTTAAATTAGACATAATTTCAAAGCAATATTTAGGACTTTAGTTTTCATAATAATTTGAATAGAAAAGAGTAGGGTCTTTCTGAAATGAAAGGAATGAAGAGATGAAGGGAGGGGAGGGAAAGGGTATGAAAAAAGAAATTAAGATGTGTTACCTACTGGAGCAACTCCATAGAAGGCGTGTAAATATGGACTGCAAACATGTACTACTAAAAGAAAATGATGAATAATAATGTCTAGTTCCCATGAGAAATATGGTGGGAACTTAGTTCCAAATTAATATTGGTCCTCCTGGGAAACACTGAGAATCACAAAGAGAAAAGAAGAAAAAAAACCTCATAAAATAAAAATTAACAGAGAAACTAGTAGACTGCAAACTAACAATAAATTACAAAGAAGACAATTTAATGTATGTATAGAGATACACACATATCTCTCAGGATGTTCAGTAGAAATAAAGTAGCCTAGAAATAAGAAAAGCAAAAGGAAATAAACAGAACTAAACAGAGGAATAACATGGTTAAAGAGAAAATGACAGCTATAGAAGACAAGTAAAGGAGAGCCAGCATCTGCCCAAATGGAAACTGATGAGCAAACTGTGGAGATGCACTTGTCCTTGGTCACAGCGGTGGTGGTGTCTTAGGCTACTGTACATAGGGGCACATTCTTAGAGACAACTCTAAACCATCCTAGTGAAAAAAGCTAGACTGTCAAAACACCATAAGCAGGATATTTTAAGGAATGTGAATCTTGGTTTTTGCAAACCTCCTTTTTGTACCATTTGGTAATATCAAAATAAGACCAAGAAGGCACCAGATCAAAATTTGGGGGAAAATTGTTAGTGGCTTGCAAACAAATCCTGCTGACAATTAGTGGGAGTATAATTAGACAAAAGGAAAAGTTCTACTATTTTACACAGTAGGGTTATTATTTTGCTATAACTTATTGCATGTTTTATGAAGTTGGAAGGCTGCAAACACTAAGAAATGATAAGGACATGGAAATACGAATTATCCTGAGCATTACAATTATACTATATTGAGTTATCACTTGTACTTAATAAATGTATGCAATTAAAAGTGAGCAGAATATTATATTTAAAAACCCTTTGAGGCCGAGGAGATGGCTCAGTGGAATAAGCACTTCCCTGGCAAGCACAAGGGCCTGAGTTCAATCCCTGGTTCCACCAAAAAAACAAAACAAAACAACAACAACAAAAAACCCTTCAATTGGAAGTAACTTAGAAAACTTCTAGAAGAAAGAATTACCATAAACCATTTACTGAGCTTTCTCTGATATTAACAGCTTGTCTTACTAAAATCAGGAAATTAACATGGATACAATGCTGCAAACAAATTATGTACTTTTGTTAATTTTCCATTTACTATTCTTTTCCGGTCCAGGAATCAATCCAGGGTCCTGTTTGAATTTAGTTGTGATGTTTACTTGGTCTTTTCATCTTACAGTTTTTGTCTTTCTTGACTTTGACACTTGAATGCTAGTGATTTTGTAGAATGTCCTTGATTTAGATTTAACTGATGCTTTTTTGTAATTAAAATTGAGCGTTTTTCTCTGTATTGAATGCCGGACTTCCCATGTGGTAGATGCATGGACCACTGAGCTGCATTCATAGTGCCTTCTACTTTATTTTGAGGTCAGATGTAGTTGCCTGAGTTAGCCTTGAACACGTGTGCCTGCTGCTCTAGCCTGCTGGGGAGCTGGAATCACACGCTTAGAAGGTCAAGCGTTTTTGACAAGCATTCCATAGAGAGACTCTGCACTTTTCAGCATACCAGTATCGATATGTATTATTGATGACAGTTGGTTACTTGGTTAAGGTGGTGCCTGACATATTTCTCCACAGTTAATGCTATATTTTTCTTTGTTGATTAGTAAGTATATTGCAGGGACAGAGAATATATAGGTAGCCTGAACTCAAGTCTTTTTTTTTTGTCCACTGATTTTAGCAGCCTTCAGTGACCAATAATTACAGTGGTGTTTTATTAATATTTATTAATACTTCTCTTTTCCTTTTCTTTTGATTAATTAGGATTTTACTGTGAGAATGAGCTGTCTCCTGTCTTATTTCTATCTTACCACCATGTTTTTGGCGTTATATAAAGAACTGTATGACAGGCACAGTAATGCAAATTCTTTGAAAATAAACTATCTGTACTTCCTTACCTCAAAATTAAAAATTAAAAGTTGTTTCCATAATCTTTAGTGAAAGTCCAGGAAATGCTACTGGTTTTGTTTGTTTGTTTTAGTTAGGACAGGGTCTACAGAGTCTCACTGCACAGATCAGACTCAGAGTGATCCTCCTGTTTTCAGCCTCCCAAGCACTAGCATTGCAGGTGTGCACCACCACGCCCAGTCTCAGTTGCCATCTCAGTGCACCCCCCAGGCAGGGCCAGCACAGCACGCTGGGGACGGAACCCTGGTGTCCGTGTCTGCCTAAGCGGGTGTGTTAGTCCGCTGAGCTATCAGGCTGGCCTGGTTTTTTTTTTTTTTTTTTTTTTAAAGTTGAGAACAAACTGACAGATATTTCCACAGGGAAATGTGTAGCAGTCTGCCTTCTATTAATTTTACTGTGTTGAAAAGATCTACATGTATTATTCATTTAAATGCAAACATTAAATGTAGAAAAAATGTCCATTTTTGTGTTCTAGGTGCTGGAGCAGTTCTCATTCCTCGCCTGGACATTGTGATTTCCTTTGTGGGCGCCGTGAGCAGCAGCACGCTGGCCTTGATACTGCCGCCTTTGGTGGAAATTCTGACCTTTTCTAAGGAACACTACAATATATGGATGATCCTGAAAAACGTATCTATCGCATTCACTGGAGTCGTTGGCTTCTTACTAGGTACATATGTGACTGTTGAAGAAATTATTTATCCTACTCCCAGAAGTGTTCAGGGTATGCCACAAAGTCCCTCTCTGAATTGGAATTCAACATGCTTACCGTCTGGTTTGACGTAATGGAAGCAAAGTGATGAGTCGTTTGTCTCAATTCTGAACATGCTTAAAGTGAGAACCAGTAAAATATTGCTGCATACTAAAGACAACCAAATTCTGTACCTTTGGTACAGTATTAATATTTTGGCAGTAAACTCCTAATTATTCATCAGTACTGGTAAATTATGCCAGATCTTTGGATTTTAGTAATAGCAGTAATGTTTTAAAAATTAATTTTGAAAATTGAAAAATTAAATTACAAAATTAAAGACTAAAATCTGTCATTCTTTATTTCTGTAATAAGTGCTTTAACCAAGATTTTCTGCTTTTCCCCATGCTAGTCTTTTGCCACTCTCTTGACAAGAGACAAGATTTCATCAGTAATGTAAATAAGGACATGTTCTCACTACAAAAATCCCACTCCAGATTATCCCAGTGAATGTCAGAGTAAATTGTATAATGTAAAGTAAATGATTTGTTTTCATTAGAGAGCAAAATACTTAGGGTAAAGGCCTTGGAAGGATAGAAAACGCTTCTTAACCATAATGTAAACCTCAGAAAATCACCCAAACTGGAATATTTTTACACCATATTGTAATGATAGTTGTCTTCTACTAATTAAGAGGCACTGAGCAGGATTCTCTCTTCTTATTTGAATCAACTTTAAGAGGGTCTTCAAAGATTTCCCAATGTGGCTTCCTCATTTTTCAGTGAAGAAAATGGAGTCCCAGAAAGTTTAAGTAGCTTGGTCAAGACCACTCACCTTTGAGATCGAGAGAGGGGCCAGGGAGATAGCTCAGCAGCTTAAGCACCCACCTTGCAAGTACAAGGTCCCAAATTTGACCTCTGGGACCACCAAAAAAATAAATAAGAGATCTGCTTTTCTGACTCCCCAGCCAGAATTTCTTTATTTTTCACATAACATACAGGAAGAAGAATAAATTGTTTAATTTTAATGTTGAGTAATTTTTTATAATGTTGACTATACTTTGAGGAGGTGGGTGTGTGATCTTTGGATAGTATACACAACGTGACCGTAAAGTGAGGAACACTACAGCTTCATAAGTCTTAACAATGACAGAATCAAGACCACTGCCGGCTGGACGAATGCGCTAAACTACATTGTTTATGGCTTATGTGCGTCTTACGTTTCTTTCTTCCCTCATTTTTGAGCCACCATCTTCCTTAATGGCAGAAAATAAATGTTTGACAAAGCACGGGATGCATAGACTCCTTTCTGTCCTGTGGCTTTCCTTATCATAGTCTATTGATCTGATGGGGCAGAACCATAAAAAGCGTGCTTAGGAAGAACGGAAGCAGCAATAACCTGCAGAGACACTTCCAGACCTCCACCAGGAGCTACCTTCTGCCACTTCATGTTCTTCAGGACCACTTACTGACCCAAATAGAGTATCTCGTTTTATGGGTAGGGTGAAAATTTAAAAATTGAAAATAGTATTGTTTCATGATTTAAAAAATTCATACTATAAAACATGGACTTTATATCAGCCTAGTAGTACTGTAGTATGTAGTACTGCAGGATATCAAGCTAACAGTAGTGAATATATTCTCTATTTTTATATGTAAATATTAACTTATTCAGATATTTTTTGCTTATTCATCATTAATTAGTCATCAGATATGATCCTAAAGATATATCAGAAGCTTTATTTTCATACAAATTTTTAAGAATCAAACTTTTAAAAAAACACATTAGATATTATCACTAATTACTTTTGATAGTTTATATCAAATTTGTTACATTCAGTCTTCAGTCATGTTAACAGAATGTGAAAGAAGATGCAGGAAAAGTAATCTTCATTGAACTACTGTGATATAACCTTAAACCCAAGAAGAAATGAAATATTTAAAAATTCATAATGGTATAAACTGAGTTGAAAATCATTAATACAAAACAGCATTGTTTTTATCAGATGTCTTAACATTTCTAGTGCATGCATACAATTTTATTTTTTCTATTTTAACATGTTCATTCCCATATAGAATTAATCGAAAGGAATGAAATTTTGAATCATTGATCATAGTAATAAGTAATTTTGAAAAGCAGCACAGTCCACACCTTGGGCTTAGCATTTACAGTGCTTACTTTAGATATAAGAAGTGCCACAGAGGAGAAAAGAGATTTGATTCTCAACAAGAAATCCTACTTAGGTGCAAAATGTAAATATACTTATTTAAGGATGGTTAATGAAATGTTTATCAGTGGATGTTTTTTCTCTGAAGTTTGGTTTTAGTGAACAATAACATTTTCTCAAGATTTGTAGAGAAGATACTTTCGTTCTACCAGCTGTTGCTTTTTGTTTTGGGAGCCTGGAGAAGTGAGACTGTTGTACCTGCCAAATATTGTATCTGCTCTTTGGGGGGATCCATGCAGTTAGCACTAAGGTGACTTCAGCGTTTATCTGCTGCTACTGGGAAGAATTCTCCCCTAAAAGTTAAGCAGTTGACCTGGAGTCATTTCTGCACCCGAGTCAGCAGAAAGGAAAGCTTTCTTTACCTGTGATGAGCTCTGTTCCAAGCTAGCTTCTGCATTCCCTTAGAGCTTCAGTAGAGTCAGAATAATCTTGTTGAAGTTCTGGTTTTGAGACTTTTTTAAGTCAGAGGATCTTTTCCCACGTGACTAGATTTCTTTACAACTAAAGAAGTTAGAGCTATCTATCAATTTTTCTTGATTGAAGATGATTTTAGATGGTGCTATCAAATAAAAAACTTCTGTATTAGCAAATGCCACATTATTTTAGTTCTTGTTGCAGATTATTTTTACTAAAATCATTTTTGACTCTTGTTTACACAGTACACTTACATTTTTACAATGGATTAATGACAGTATGAGTTGTAAGGTTCCTAACAGTTTGATCTTCAGTATTTTCATAATCCTGTTTCAAAGTACTGTGAACTATCAATTCATGTTGTCAGTGCCACTTCTACCTGTGGGAACGTGCCACAGTTGTCAGGACAGTGTCTGGATTGTATGCACTTATTTCCTGACTTTATATCCCTAAAAAGTAGGTCTCATTCTTACTTCTTTTTTAAGGGGAGAAAGGAATTGCGGGATAGCTCAGTGGGGGAGCGTTGGCTTAGTGTGCACAAAGCTCTGCCATCAGTCATCCAGCACTAAAAGCCAGAAACTGTGCAGCTCATGGACCCACTAGATACTACTCCGTTAACAGTACAGTAGTCCAGTGGTCCAGTGAGTATTATCTGTTAAAGAGTAATATAATTTGATAAAAATATAGGCCATTTATAATGTAAAATGTTTTTAAAACGGGTTTACTTTAATAATTTGGCTCAACTTTCTCTTAAGAAAATGTGAAAAATTGATATAAAATGTGCAAGACATTTCCTGGCATTGCGTGGCTGGCTGTAATAGCTGCTACCTTGCTACTAGCACTTACTAGCCCCAACCTTTTCTGAGACTGCTTGGTTTTGACCTGGGCAACAAAAATACGTATTTAAGAAGTAATTAGAAATGGTGTCTGTTTCCTGTGATAAGTAAAGTAAAAATCACTCAAATGGTTTAACTTTCCTCTGAAAATTAGCTGGTTCCTATTTGCATGCATGTGTCCGCCCCACAACATACACAGTAAGAGTCTGTGAAGTATATTCAAATACTGATTGACCTCTTAAACTGGATGCAGGAAAGTCTTGTATTAAAAGTATCACTCTATGGCATTATTTTCTTGATAATAGGAAAATATATGTTTATACCAGGAATAAAGCTACAGATTTTGTTGTTTTTGAAATAATTTTCAGCTGGAATAAAACTGAATATTGTTGCACTTGAGTCAATTCATTTGTTTTTATTTGTGAAATAATGTGAAAAATCTGTCTTAAATGTACTGTAACTGAATTTTCAATAAAATGTAATTTGCTTGCAGTTGCTTTTTAAATAAATTCATCTTTTATAAAGTTAAGTGGATTTGACAAATGTCATAAGTTGCAAATGTAAAAGTGACATTTGTACAGTATTCTCATGATAACATTTTGATCAGTCTGTATGATTCATTGTCCTATGAGAGTTAAGAGCAGAGGTTGGTTAGAGGTGAAAGGGCACATTTACACAGTGACCTGAACTTCCTAGAGTGAGTGTAAGATTAAGGAGATGCTGCACCCAGGCTTTCATTTACCACTGTTTAAAAAATTTCAGAAAATCTAAAAGGGCTTTAAATACCACCACAAAAATGGTAAATCTACAAGGTAATAGGTATGCCAGTTACTCTGATTTGAACATTGCCTGTGGACATTTATTGAAGAATGACTTAGTACCCTATAAGTATAGAGAATATTTGTGCCTTTTTTAAGAGGAAAAAACTGAAACATATAAACACCTTAAAATTTCCAGTTCCTTGAATGTAACTCATTTTGCTTGAATTATGATATTGAAACAATGCTTTTGGAAAGCATTATACCAACCTTAAAGCTATTTCATACCTTTGTATGTACCACTAATTCTGTTCTTCACATAAAGACCTCTCAAAGAAGACAGACATTATGCCTAAAAGTGTGTCTACAGTATTATATTTTAATAGGGAAAAGTTGGAAATGCCAAGTTGGAAATGCCCAAATTGTTTAACAATAAAACCTTCCAAGATATGCAAATTTAAAAAACTAGGGCCAGGGAGATAGCTCTGTGGCATAAGCTCCTGCCTGGCAAGCACAAGGTCCTGAGTTTGATTCCTGGTACTAGGGGGGAATAAAATACATATATATAATTAAACAACACTGAGTCCTCCGGAAAGAATGGTTATTGTTAAGAAATCAACCATTGACAAATGCTGGAGAGGTTGTGGGGGCAAAGAAACCATTTTTCACAGTTGGTGGAACTATAGACTGGTACAGCCACTGGAAATCAGTGTGGAGATTCCTTAAAATATGAGGACTAGAGTTCCCATCCGACCCAGCTATCATCCCAAAAGAATTCAAAACATCATACTACAGTGATATATGTGCACTTAGTTTATAGCAATACAGTTTGTAATAGCTAAATGGTGGAAACAACCCCAATGCCTGTCAACTGAGGAATGTGTATGAAAGATGCAGTCTTTATGTACAATGGAGTACTACTCGGCCATAAGGAAAGGTAAAATTGAGACTTTTATAGGTAAATGGATGCCACTTGGGACCATACTCATCAGTGAAATAAATCAGACTCAGTGTGTAAACATTGTATTGTGTCCCTGGTGCGAGAAACTGGAAGAGTAAATAGGGCCAAGATGTGCAATAGGTATTGTGAAGTGGAAAAGACATGTACAAAAGCAAAGACCACTAGGGAAGGGGAAAGGAAAAAATGTATGAGAGCAGTACTACTAGTTTCTCATAGAAACATTTGTGCTAATATTATTTGGAAAAATTTTTGTGCCCGTATCTTGTACTCTGAGTAACTGTGCAACGTAGTGATTATTATTACTGATGACTGTGTTAACTATTGCTATTCTATTTTGTTACAGAATTTCATTTTTCTCACCAAAAATGAGATCATAAGTTAATATTTTAGCCAAGAATAAAATGAAAATTTATATTGAAATTTAATAATTTGGGAAATAATATGTAAAGTTAATTTGTATTATAGCTCTGTAAAAGTATGATTTTAGACTTGTATAAAGAGATATGGGGAGGTTAGGATAATGATACCCTGTTTGTAGTGTATCCTATTGGTAAGTGGGTTAAAAAAATGGGTTTTACCATTTTTAAGGACAGTTGTGATAATAAAGGGAAATGGTTTGAGGAGAGGAATGAAGTTTTAAAATCTTATTAGGGCTGGGAATATAGTTCAGGGTCATCCCAAGCTTTGCACGTGTGAAGGTCTGGGTTCAATCCCTAAAGCCAAAAGCGAACTAAATGAAACAAAAACAACAAAAAAACTTGTAAACCGTGCCTGCTCCTGATGAGAACTGAGGCCTATGTATGAGGTGTGGGTAGCTGCAGGGACGTGGAGATGCAACTGTGATGGAAAGTCACAGCTTGCTAGAAGGAATCTTGGCTGCTCTTCTGGTGCTGAGGCAACATACCTGACAGCCATAATTTACAAGGAGAAGGGGTTTATTTTGCCTCATGGCTTTCAGAGGGCTCAATCCACAGTTGGCTGGGTCCAAATCAGGAGCCACATGCTGGAAAAGCTGCTCACTTCATGGTGAGCAGGAAGCAGAGAAGGAGCACTTTGTCCCCAATGACTATCACTCCACTGCCGAATATAATGCCCTTAGGATTCACTCAGCTTTCCAAACTTCTACCTTTGAACCGAAGACTTAGGGAACATTTTAGAACTAAACCATAACATATACCTACTTTGTAAAATTCGTTTTTCCAATCACAAGGTTTTGAGCATTCATTACAAATAATTACACATACATTTCCCAACTTTTGCACACAGAATGATGTTGCTCGCATTTTGTGAAATACACAAACTCTTAAGAGAAAGGTTCTTAAAAAAAGAGATCCATCCGTTATGGAAGAAGAAATACTGTTCAGGTTCACTATAAAGGTAAATTTGATGGCTTTAAATTAGGGCTTTTGGTTCTAAGTTTTCTGGTGCCATAAGAAAGGGACAAGCTAGTAACTGATGACAGTCTACTCAAACTAAAGCTACAGTGCTAATCTTGCCAAGATATAAGGAAGTAATTTGTTATTCTCTACGTTGAATTTTAATCTGTGCTAAAGGACAGTCATTAGCAATTGAACACCTGACATGTACTCACTGGGTAGGAGGGGTGTGCCGGTGGTCCAGCACCAAGGAGAGTAGGGCCAAAGTAGAAAAAAGTTGACAGGGTGAAAGCGAAATCAGTGTAGCACATTTCACCTGGATCTGTACAGTTCCATTGATCTCTTCAGCTGCATAACCTAACAACTCCACAGGGGCACAGAAGGTTGGCAAAAAAGCCGATCTTGTCACCTTCTGTTATACTTCCCAATCTTGGTGGCACAAAGATGAAGCTCTTCACTGAGAACACTGCCAGTGCTCACTCCACGGGTCACACCTACACCAGCCTATTTACAGCACTCCAGAGACAGGACACGTTCTGTGTCTCATCTGCATGGCTCCATCACTTCCTCGTGTTATGACTGGTCTCGTCTACTCCATCCCCCATTGCTTCCCCTCTGAACAGATCTGTTACAAGATTCAGGGTAGGTGTCCCTTTTACTGGGAAATCTCCCCTTATACTTTCACCACTACCCAGGTGGGTTGTGCTTTTCATTTTGCTTCTTTCATATTTTATTACCCTCTTTGGAGAAGACCTATTCCAGAAGGTTGGCTTTGTGAATTATCTTCAGGGTATATAGAAATGTGAGGTATATGGTGGATGTGCAAAAGAATCATTGAATGAATGAGCTGACTTTTTTAAAATAGAAAAGCCTGTATTAGAGCTTGAGCCCTAAATAAAGTTTTCAAGCACAAGAGCAACGTCAAACTATTCATACGGTTACCTTTGTCCTGTGTATATTTGTTGAATGAATGTGGCTGACCCCCTTTTCCACTTCTTATGTTAGTTTGAAAAGCTGTATTTTAAAGTAAAGCCAACCAGAATGTGTGACATAAAATACCATGAGAAGAGATTGGTTAATCATGATGGACAGAGAGGACAGAAAAATTCTGGTATTCTATTACACTGAGAGTAATTATGGTCCAAAGTATTGTATCATATGACTCAAAATAGCTAAAAGAAATGTACTGTTCACATAAATACATGATAAATTATTAATATAATGAAAACTATATTTGTTGATGGATGCAGTAAGACTGATTTATGAATGAGTTCTGGGAGAATTTCACAAGTCATAATCATTCATAATCCAACAGTACACCTGTGAATTTTATTATACACATGTGAAACTCTTCTACTTGAATATTTGTAAGTCAGGGACTTAGCATACTTTGTATACTGAAACATCACACAGTACCCTGTAAAAGTGCACAGCTATTACCTGTAAAAATAAAAGTTGGGATCACCTAGTGATAGATGCTTGCTTAGCATGCACAGATCCTGAGTTTGATCCCTAACAGCTCCAGAAATGAAGAATGTTAAAGGAATGTAAGAAAGTATTACATAGGATGGGCCAAATAGCTCAGTGGATTAAAGTGCCTGCAAGCAGGTGCAGGGGCTGGGGGTTTGATCCCTGGGCCTGCTGTGCTGGCCCCATTCCCGAGGTGTGCTGAGATGAATGAGGCTGGGCGTGGTGGTGCGCGCCTGTAATCCCAGCACTTGGGATAAACAGGCAGATGACTACGAGTCCGATCTAGTAGTGAGACCCTGAACACCCTGTAGACCCTTCCCTAAAATACAAAAGAAAAAAAAATTATGAATCTGACCGATCTTAAAAACAATCAGATTCTAGTAATATGTGGAAAGTCTATAAAAAGGAAAAGATTTAAAAACCATTTCCCCACGTCTTTGGGTCTTCATATTTTACATGAGATTAAATTTTCTAGAAAAATAATAAGAGTTATTAGATACAACTTAGAATGCAAGTGATACTTGTCATCTAAAAATACAAAGTGAAACAGATCTAAGAATGTTTTCCTAGACTTTTGATACTAAAGGATTTCTTATAAGAGTGATATATATTTCGTAGTTTTTTTTTTTTTTTTTTTTAATTCTCTGACAAAAGAGGCCATTCTCTGGCTGTTCTCTTACTTTGTTAGCTGAATGTATCATGATCTATGCCATAAGAGGAGCCTAGTGCTAGTCAAGAATGAGAATGTTGGGGCTGGGGAGATGGCTCAGTAGGATAAGCACTTGACTGGCAAACTCAAGGATCTGAGTTCAATCCCCGGTTCCACAAAAAAAAAAAAAAAAGAATCTGAAAGTGTTGGGGAAAATGACTATTCCAAGGTATCCTTCCAGACATGAAGGGTGTTCTTGATAGTTTTTTGTTATTATA